TCCAGTGCAGCAGCAGGCTGGACCAGCAGTCACCAGGAAATGGTCCAAGTGCTGAGCATTTCAGGATCTGGCAGTCAGCTTCCAGGTGGGGGCAGCCTCCTGACATAGGTCAGGACAAGACTGAGGGGTAGCTGGGAGAACCAGTCACAAGGTGACACCTGTGCCCGGCTGGCCCTGGGGAGATGTGCTTGATCAGCAGCAGGACGTCTGGACTCAGCAGGCTGGGCGGGAGCACACAGGGCGGCAGACCAGGGACACACAGGAGGCCGGGCGGTAGCAGCTGGGCTGGCAGGAGGAGATGGACACGCAGCAGGCGGGCCTGTACACGGGGCGGCAGATGAGGGACACACAGGAGGAGGGTCTGTAGCAGCTCGGGGGAGCTGGGCAGGGAGTGCCCCCAGAACAGATGGGCCTGCAGCACAGGGGCCTGCAGCAGACAGGTGTGCGACAGACAGGCTTACGGCACAGGGGCTTGCAGCCGACGGGCTCACAGCAGACCTGCGGGCAGGGGGAGGAGGTGCAGCAGGAGGGGGTGCAGGAGCTGGTGCAGGCTGGTTGGCAGGGGCTGGGCCCACAGGCTGCCTGGCAGCAGGGGCTGGACACGCAGCTCACTGGGGTGCAGATGAGGGTCAGGCAGGAGGTGGGGGCACAGCAGCTGGGGGTACAGCAGGTGGACTGGCAGCAGCTGGGGACACAGCAGATAGGCTGGCAGCAACTGGGGGTGCAGCAGGTGGGCTGGCAGCAACTGGGGGCGCAGCAGGAGGGCTCACAGCAGCTCTCTGGACAGTCATCCACCTGCCAGGAGGAGTCTGTGCGGGAGTCGCAGGACCCGGGCAGGCAGGCGTGGCTGCCATAGCTCAGGTCGCTGGAGCAGACGGACAGGGTGGACGCGGCCATGGTGGGCGGTGGGGCTGGAGGAGGGTGTGAGCGTGTGAGCGTGTGAGCGTGTGAGCGAGTGTGTGAGATGCTGGGGCCTGTCCAGCTTTTATACCCTCCCTGGGCAGGCGTGTTGTTCCAGCAGCAGCTCACACGCCTTCCCTTCCTTGTTGCTGGAGAGAGTGAATCCTGGAAAATAAACAGCAGATGTTTTCATCCCAGGAGTCATTGCTCAGCTAACAAAACTCTTAAAATTGGCTTGGGGCTTGTTTACCCGGTTTTAGTCCTAGAACGATAGCTTGGGGTGGAGTATAGGTTGTCCTGTTGTGTTAGTGGGATCCCTGGGGGCCGAGGCAGAACCCAGGTGTGTGGGCTGCTGGCCCCTGGTCGGGGAGCCCCGTGCCGGTGTCCTGCTTGCAGGCCCAGGTCGTGCACCTTGTGGTGGACGCTTATTTGGTTTCTAAATGAAGACGTGAGTCATCCTGTGTATCGATGGTGTCCTAGGGCTGCGTAACAAAGCACCACAGACAGTGGGGCTAGTGCAACGGAAATGTATCTTGTCACAGTCTGGAGGCCAGGAGGCCACGGTCAGGGGTCAGCAGGGCTGGCTCTGCGGCTGAGGGACACCCTGCCCCGTGCTCTCGCCCAGCTTCTGGCGGTTGCTGGCCCTCTTTGGTTCCTTGTCTCGCAGAAGCAGCATCCCGACCTCTGCCTCCGTGGCCCGGGGCTGTCCTTGTGTGCCTCTCTGCGCCCACGTTTCCCCTGCTGGTAAGGACATCAGTCATGCTGGATAGGGGGACCCCCAATGACATTTTAACTTGATTGTTTCTGCAAAGACCCTATTTCCAAATTAAGTCACATTCACAGGTCCCAGGCCGCAGCAGCGTTTTGGGGACACGGTTGAACCCATCACAGCACCTGCTCTGAGGCAGGCACGGCGCCAGGGCCGGGGGTGGGTCCTCAGGAGGGGTTGAGCGGGCCTCGCTTCTCAAGTCTGCGGCAGATGAAGGACAGACAGCGGGGAGCACGGGCGTGAGGGGCCTGGTGGCACGCACGTGACTTCTGCTTGCCCTGGAGCAGCTTGACTCATGGGATGATTTTTTAAAAATTTATTTTATCAAATAATTGTGAAGAGGGTACAGAGAATGCACATGTGCCCCTCACCCAGCTTCCTCTAGCGTCGCCGTCTTACATAACCGCAGGTCAGTTACCAAATTTTAGAAACCACGCGGGTACCCACTGTTCACTCAAGGACCGACTGTGTTCCACTCACCATTTCCCAAATGCTTAGTAATATCCCCTATTTTTTCTTGCTATTGATAAACTGATAACATCCTCCGTCTGGTCCCTAACCCCACACGGCATTGGTCAGGCCTCCTTCCGCTCCCGTCGGGGACAATCGCTCGGTTTCCTTGCGCTCTGTGACCCTGGCACTTCAGAGGAGCCCTGGCCAGGCGCATTTTCTGACCTGTTCTCGCAATTAACCTGGGGCTGCTATGTTTGGGGCGGCATCTCACGGAAGTCATGTGTCCAGCAAAGCAGGGGTGCAGGATGTCCACGTGTCTCATCCCTGGGAATGTGACCCTCTTCCCCTTTGTAATGAATACATCCTGGGGAAGATTGTTTAAAGACTTTGCAGATATCCTGTTTCTACTGAAACCTCTGCTCAGCGGCTTCGGCGCCCATCTAAGGACTGTGCCTGCGGCCACAGTCACTGCGGTGTTCCCATGTTTTACTTTCTGAAAATGTTTAGTAACATCCCTTATTTTTTCTTGATATTGATAAATTCTTTTTTTTCTCTGGTCAGCCTGGCTTAAGTTTATCAATTTTACCAATCATCTCAAAGAACCAGCTTTGATTTCATTGACGTTTGTTCCCAGTGACCTTGATCCCTGCCCTTGTCTGTCCTCTGCTCTCTCTGGGTTTCACGTGCGCGTCTTTTTCAAGTTCCTCCGGTGGCAGCTGAGATGGTTGGTCTCACACCTTCCTTCTCTGACAGAGGCTCTCACTACTATACGTCACCCTCTCCTTTAGCGTGTCCCAAAGCCCTTCCGTGTCGATGGCCCCGGTCTCTGAATGAGCCGATCTCCCAGCCCCTCCCGCTCTGATGCCACAATTCCTGGGTTCGTCCTGCGTTCTCAGGGCCGTGGAGTCGATGAGCTGGGAGCTCGCACGCAATGGGACTGGAGGCAGGTGACGCCCTCGGGGCCGGGCTGTGGCCTTCCACACTCAGCCGAGGCCCTTGCAGCGGGACTGGCCCTCTGTTTACGGCTCACGTGCCAGGAGGACGGCAGGTGAGGGACATGGGGAGCTGACTGGGTGGCAGGGGAGTCAGGCCTGGCAGGAGAGAGCCGTGTTTTCATTGCAAGGTCCCCGCCCCTTCGCCTCTCCCACCTCTTGGCTCCTGGCAGAGGCGAGTCCGGGAGGAGGCGCTTTGGATCACTGGAGACATGTTCTGTGGGTGCGGCCCCGAGGCCCCGAGGGCCACAGAGCATCCTGCCCTGGAAGAGCTCCCCCCACCCCGCGGCCTGCACGCTGTCACTCTGCCTCTTTTCTCCTGAATGTCCATGTGCCCCTGGGGCCAGCTGGTCACTGTACCTAATGGACAGCATTTGACAAGGGCGGAAAGGAAGGTCCCGGCTCTGAGCTGGCAAGCGCGGGGCCCGCAGCTGGACTCATTCCCGGGCTGTGTGTGGATTTCCTGCGTCAGCCGATCGGGGCGCCCGGCAGCCTGTTGCTTATTTACGGAACGTGAGCTTAACCTCAGCTCTTTTATGAGCCACGTGGATCGTACTTGAGAGTCCTGCCTCGCCAGCCGGGCAGCCTGCCTTCCGCTGCCAAACGCAGGCCCTCCCGCAAACTCAGGTGGGAAGTTAGAAATTCCCTAAAAGTGGCGCAGCACAGGGTTGACTGCATCGTGAGGGATGGGCACTGCCTTCCCAATCTAGTCTTGGCGAGGCAACATGAGTTTGGGAGCAACTTCTGCCTGCTGGAGATTTCAGTCCCTCCCTGTGGCCCATAGCGCAGACCTCGGGCCTCAAAGCCCTCTGTCCAGCATCAGTTGCTACCCCGTTCTCGTTGGCACTGCTGCCTGACTCTGCTTCCTGCAGAAATGGCTGGAAGTGAACCCAAGACTGTCCACAGGCCCCACGGGCAGTAGCCCTTGTTGCTTCAAGAAAGGTCACTGGGGGGTGGGGGGGAAACGGGTCATTGGGGAGAAAAAGGGACATCTGTAATACTTTAAACAAAAATGAAAATTATACATATTAAAAAAAAAAAATTTAAAAAAAAAAAGAAAGGTCACTGGTTCGACCCCTAAGGGAAGATGTCCCTGGGATTTCTGGGTCGTTGTGATTTATTAGGGACACGTGTCTGCCCAGCTCTTGATGTCTGGTCCACCATAACCGCAGCGGGTGGCCGTGTGCAGGGAGATGGACGGAGGTGTCCTCTGCCATCAGTCACCTGTGTCCTTGCCCACATTTACAAAGGAGAGGCCTTAGGAGGGTTTCCTGGGCGCAGGAACGCAATCCCATCCCCTGAGACACTGGCCTGGGTTGGGCATGGGTAAGAGGAACTCCGATGGCCTGCAGGGAACACGGGAGCTGACAAATACTGCCCGTCACTGCCAGCAGGGGATGGTGTCGCCCTGTACAGACAGGAAAAGAGCACCCACCCCAGGAGCATCCATGAGGACAGAGCCAGGCAGTCTCCATAAACCGCCAGGACGGAGCCTGGCATGGCTGTGTCTCCTCGCTCTGTCTCGGCTGCAGGGACCACTGTCATGTCCACGTGTCTGGTTGATGATGGTGGCACTGCTGAGAGCACCGGGGGTGCCTTGCTTGAACTCTCAGTCCCCAGGTGCTTTATGGGCATGAGCCTGTCTCTTGCAGGGACCGTGCACTCCCAGGGACAGGGCTGGGGCTTGTCCTTCAATACAGCCAGCACAGCTGTGGGGACAGGTAAGAGAGGTCACAGGCGGGCTCAGGTGGGTGGTTAGCCAGAATAATGGTGACACCAGCTCTCGGGGCCCTGGCGAGGATTCCACACCATGCTGAGACCCAGCCAGCCCCATGGATGCCCCGTAAACGACCTGGCATAACCCGCCTGTGGTTTCCTTGACACAGATCTGCGCCCCCTGGACATCCTGGCGGAGGCGGTCCCTCCGAATGGCGCTGAGAGCGGAATCAGCGTGACGCGGGTTCAAGGCGCGCTGGGACTCCAGCTCTCAGCTGCTGCCCCCGGCGCCATGAGCTTCCCTGCGTCGAGGATTTTCGTCAGATGCGACCTCTTCCCTGAAGAATTTTCCATCGTTGTAACCTTGAAAGCTCCCGATCTGCCCCCCAAGGTCAGTGACATGTCTCATCCTTGTGTTCGAAGGACCCAGTGTCCTCATGCCAGAGTGCAAAGGGCATGGCCGGCTTGGGCTGCAGAGAGGCACCCATCCAGGTCTCCTAGACCTTGGCGGGCAGGAGTGCCAGCCCTGGTGGGTAGTGAGGTCCCCATCACTGCGAGTGTGCAGGCAGGGCCATTTGCTTGGGGTTTGTACTAGCAGTTCTTGAAATTATAATTTTTCTGGGGTGCTAACCTGTCAAAGGCTAGGGATACTGCTTAGAGCTTTTAGTTTGACGCCCTTTAGCAGGAAAGACAAACAGTAAAATGACAAAACTTACCCTTCTGGGGCCTGATTACCTGTGGCTTGCAGTCCATGCACCCCAGATCCAGCTAATAGTGCATCCTACCTGCTGGGCTGGGAGCCCCTGAAGGGGGGACATGGTGCCTGCCACCATTCCCTGCAGGTTCCAAGACAATGCACTTCGTAGGTGTGTAACAAACCCCGTCTGTTTACAAGAGCGCGTCCCTGCCCTCCCATAACCGTGATCCTTGTGGGTTTTGTCTGTGGACTGTGATTCTGTCCCATCTTTCCCGGGACTTCTGCTCACTAACCTTTCTCCTTTCATGTCATCAAACCTGTTGTCAAACCCAGCTGCTGAGTTTTCTATTCCAGCTGTTGCAACTTCAGTCCTATAATTTCTTTTTATTTTATTTTAAGTTTTTATTGATTTCAAAGAGAGGAAGGGAGAGGGGGAGAGAGAGAGACAGAAACATCAATGACGAGAGAGTCATTGATTGACTGCTTCTTGCATGCCTCCTACTGGGGATCAAGCCCACAACCTGGGCATGTGCCCTGACCGGGAATCAAACTCTGATCTCCTGATTCATGCGTTGACGCTCAACCACTGAGCCATGGAGGACCATATTCTTCTTTTTTCCTATGAATTCCAATTCCCAGATAAAATCTCTGTTTTGTCAGATACTTTCTTGAATGTGACTCCAGTATTTGGAAGCAAGGATTCCATACTGTGGACCACTCCAGCATGTGGATCCCACAGAAGCCGGCTCTGCTTCTCTTAATTTCCTGTCATGCCCAGTCACTTTTCACAGCCTTATTGAGATATGAGAAAGATACCACACAATTCACCCTTTTACAGCCACAATTCAGTATGTTCAACTGACAGGAGCAACCCTCACCACAGTGAATTTAGAACACATTCATCACCCCATAACAAGCTCTGCACACTTTAGCTCTCACCTGCCCCCCAACAATGAGCAATAGATAATTTAGAAAACAAGAAAGTTCTCAAATAAATGACCTCAACTTCTACCTTAATAAACTAGGATGCAAATAAAGCTCAGAGAAGAAAGACAAGACCAAAGATCAGCGTGGAAAGCAATGAAATGGAAAACAGGAGGGAAAAAAAAAAAAAAAAGAGGGGAAAAAAATCCACAAAGCTCTTTCCTTGAGAAGATCAATAAAACTGATAAATTTTTATCCATACTGACCAGCAAAACAAAGAGAGAAGACACTGGTCCCCAATATCATGTGACATCATTGGCGACCTTACAGACACTGGAAGTGTAATAAGAGAACATTATGAACAAGTTTAGGACCATACATTTTACAACCTAAATGAAATGGACAAATCCCTTGACAAACACGAACTAGCAAAACTCACTCAAGAAGAAATAGAGAACCTGAGTAGCCCTATAACTATTGAAGAAATTGAATGTGCAGTTAAAGACGTTCCCACACCCAGCTGTCCTTCGACAGGTGAAGGTTAAGCAAACTGGGACGTCCACACCATAGAACAGCATCCCCAATAGAAAGGACCAAATTGGTGACATCACAGCAGCTGCATGGATAGCAAGGGAATTGTGCTTTGTGAAAAAGTTCCTCTGAAAAAATGACAGTGTATGACTCCATTTATAAACGTTCTCGGTATAACAAAGAGTAGAGATGGGGGAGAGATACGTGGTTGTCAGGGGTTAGGGGTGAGAGTGTGAGTGGGTGTGGTGTTAAGTTGTGGATGTGGGAGCCTTATGGTGACAGTACAATTCTGTGTCTGAGGGTGGAGGTGGTTATACGATCTTCAAAAGTGAAAATACTGAGTAGAAATACACACACACATGCATACACACAAGTGTGTGTGAATCTGATTAAATCTGAATAAGACTGGTGGATTTTCAGTCTCCTGAAAGATGCTTTCATGGAGGGAAGCTGGGTAAGGGTAAGGATAAGGCCCCTCTCCCCAGGTGGACACCAGGCAGATGTATGAGCAGGGATGAGAAAGATGCTGTCCTGGCTGCCCTCCGAACTCCCAGGACTGCCTGCCTGTGCCCTGGGACCACTCCAGCCCAATGTCCACTCCACCCCATGCCTCACCTAGGGGTGGGTGTGAAAGCTGGGCAAACCAGAATCCAGTGCCCTGAGGGTCTCACCGCCCAGGCCCTCTGCTCCTGCCCGGCACGTGGCCTCCCCGCCGAGGAGACAGGCCATCCCCCATGCTCCTCTCCAGGAACACTGCGAGCAGGTCTGCACCTCGCTCTAACCTAATTCATGGGACCTGACACAACCAGAGCAGCCCTACCAGTGACCACCACAACCATCTGTTGGAGAGAATCATGGCCACACATCTTCCCGACCCATCAAGACCTACAGGAGGACACAGTGTGACGGCAGCATGGCCAGAGCACCAGCTTCCTCAAGGGCCAAACATGGGTCGGGCCGTCCTCAAGGTCACCACAGGCAACTGACTCATGTAATGAGGCTTCTGAGCCCTGCGCTGACACCAACAGGGAAGGGGGCATGTGAGCCTTCTGTGGGGACAACATAGGCCAGGCACCAGATATAAAAGCCCTGTAGTCCCAGGACACCTTACACACACTCACACTCGCTCAACATCCGCTCACTCCTCCCAGCTCCCCTGCACCCCACCGCCCGCCATGGCCGCGTCCACCCTGTCCGTCTGCTCCAGCGACCTGAGCTATGGCAGCCGCGCCTGCCTGCCCGGGTCCTGCGACTCCCGCACAGACTCCTCCTGGCAGGTGGACGACTGTCCAGAGAGCTGCTGTGAGCCCTCCTGCTGCGCCCCCAGCTGCTGCCAGCCCACCTGCTGTGCCCCCAGCTGCTGCCAGCCCACCTGCTGTGCCCCCAGCTGCTGCCAGCCCACCTGCTGTGCCCCCAGCTGCTGCCAGCCCTCCTGCTGTGCCCCCAGCTGCTGCCAGCCCACCTGCTGTGCCCCCAGCTGCTGCCAGCCCACCTGCTGTGCCCCCAGCTGCTGCCAGCCCACCTGCTGTGCCCCCAGCTGCTGCCAGCCCACCTGCTGTGCCCCCAGCTGCTGCCAGCCCTCCTGCTGTGCCCCCAGCTGCTGCCAGCCCACCTGCTGTGCCCCCAGCTGCTGCCAGCCCACCTGCTGTGCCCCCAGCTGCTGCCAGCCCACCTGCTGTGCCCCCAGCTGCTGCCAGCCCACCTGCTGTGCCCCCAGCTGCTGCCAGCCCTCCTGCTGTGCCCCCAGCTGCTGCCAGCCCACCTGCTGTGCCCCCAGCTGCTGCCAGCCCACCTGCTGTGCCCCCAGCTGCTGCCAGCCCACCTGCTGTGCCCCCAGCTGCTGCCAGCCCACCTGCTGTGCCCCCAGCTGCTGCCAGCCCTCCTGCTGTGCCCCCAGCTGCTGCCAGCCCACCTGCTGTGCCCCCAGCTGCTGCCAGCCCACCTGCTGTGCCCCCAGCTGCTGCCAGCCCACCTGCTGTGCCCCCAGCTGCTGCCAGCCCACCTGCTGTGCCCCCAGCTGCTGCCAGCCCTCCTGCTGTGCCCCCAGCTGCTGCCAGCCCACCTGCTGTGCCCCCAGCTGCTGCCAGCCCACCTGCTGTGCCCCCAGCTGCTGCCAGCCCACCTGCTGTGCCCCCAGCTGCTGCCAGCCCACCTGCTGTGCCCCCAGCTGCTGCCAGCCCTCCTGCTGTGCCCCCAGCTGCTGCCAGCCCACCTGCTGTGCCCCCAGCTGCTGCCAGCCCACCTGCTGTGCCCCCAGCTGCTGCCAGCCCACCTGCTGTGCCCCCAGCTGCTGCCAGCCCACCTGCTGTGCCCCCAGCTGCTGCCAGCCCTCCTGCTGTGCCCCCAGCTGCTGCCAGCCCACCTGCTGTGCCCCCAGCTGCTGCCAGCCCACCTGCTGTGCCCCCAGCTGCTGCCAGCCCACCTGCTGTGCCCCCAGCTGCTGCCAGCCCACCTGCTGTGCCCCCAGCTGCTGCCAGCCCTCCTGCTGTGCCCCCAGCTGCTGCCAGCCCACCTGCTGTGCCCCCAGCTGCTGCCAGCCCACCTGCTGTGCCCCCAGCTGCTGCCAGCCCACCTGCTGTGCCCCCAGCTGCTGCCAGCCCACCTGCTGTGCCCCCAGCTGCTGCCAGCCCTCCTGCTGTGCCCCCAGCTGCTGCCAGCCCACCTGCTGTGCCCCCAGCTGCTGCCAGCCCACCTGCTGTGCCCCCAGCTGCTGCCAGCCCACCTGCTGTGCCCCCAGCTGCTGCCAGCCCACCTGCTGTGCCCCCAGCTGCTGCCAGCCCTCCTGCTGTGCCCCCAGCTGCTGCCAGCCCACCTGCTGTGCCCCCAGCTGCTGCCAGCCCACCTGCTGTGCCCCCAGCTGCTGCCAGCCCACCTGCTGTGCCCCCAGCTGCTGCCAGCCCACCTGCTGTGCCCCCAGCTGCTGCCAGCCCTCCTGCTGTGCCCCCAGCTGCTGCCAGCCCACCTGCTGTGCCCCCAGCTGCTGCCAGCCCACCTGCTGTGCCCCCAGCTGCTGCCAGCCCACCTGCTGTGCCCCCAGCTGCTGCCAGCCCACCTGCTGTGCCCCCAGCTGCTGCCAGCCCACCTGCTGTGCCCCCAGCTGCTGCCAGCCCACCTGCTGTGCCCCCAGCTGCTGCCAGCCCACCTGCTGTGTCCCCAGCTGCTGCCAGCCCACCTGCTGTGTCCCCAGCTGCTGCCAGCCCTCCTGCTGTGCCCCCAGCTGCTGCCAGCCCTCCTGCTGTGCCCCCAGCTGCTGCCAGCCCTCCTGCTGCACCTCCTCCCCCTGCCAGCAGGGCTGCTGTGTGTCCCTCTGCTGCAAGCCCGTCTGCTGCACACCCGTTTGCTGCAAGCCTGTGTGCTGTACCCCTGTCTGCTGCAAGCCCGTCTGCTGCACACCTGTCTGTTGCAAGCCTGTGTGCTGTGTGCCTGTCTGTTCTGGACCTACCCCCTGCCCAGCCCCATCAAGCTGCTGCAGGCCCTCCTCCTGTGTGTCCCTCATCTGCCGCCCCGTGTGCAGGCCCGCCTGCTGCGCGCCTGTTTCCTCCTGCTGTGCCCCTGCCTCCTGTCAGCCCAGCTGCTGCCGCCCGGCCTCCTGCGTGTCCCTGCTCTGCCGTCCTGTGTGCTCCCGCCCAGCCTGCTGTGTCCCTACCTCGGCCCAGAAATCCTGCTGCTGACCCAGCCCTGCTGGCCAGCTGGGCTCAGGTCTCTCCTTGTGGCTCTGGTTCTCCTAGCTACCCCTCAGTCTGATCCTGAGCCATGTTAGGTAGGTGCCCCACTCAAGACGGGGTCCCCCCAGATCTCTACTGTCCTCACCTGACCTCTGCTTCAAGGAACCCTGGACTTCATTGCTCCCCCGGCTCTTGCCTCCCAGGAGGCTCCTCCACCTGCCTCTGAGTCACCTGTCTTTCCCTCCTAGTTCCCTGTTGAGTCTCTTGACCTCCATTCTCAGCCTGTCAGCACCTCCTTGGGCACCCAATAAACTCACTCATCACCTGATGGCTTCCTTCATCTGATTTCATGGGGGCTGGGCACATGGTTTTCACCAGACAGTGGTCTCCTCCAGCCACGAGTATTTCTAAGAATGAATGATTTAGAAATCCCAAAGAGCAGTGGCCAACTCCTCCTAGTGGGGCACCAGGTGGGACTCTTGCCCTGGCTCAGAAAGATCAGTGCCTACTGGGCCTGTGCCTGGGGCTTCTTTGAGGCTGGTCACCGGCAGAAAAGTCATGTTCTAGGGCAGGAGTGGGCAACATCCAGCTTGTGGCTGTATATGGCTGGCGAAATCATTTGGTCTGGCCCTGCCGAAGAGAGGCAGTTCCAACCATCACATTAGGGGGTGAGTTAATTAAATGTTTGACGAAATATAGCAGGCTAATTTTTAAGTTGTGAATTTTGTATTGCCCCAAAATGATGTTATAAATATCTATATAGCCCTTGGCAGAAAAAAAGTTCCCCATCCCTGGTCTAGGGACTTCTCAGGCACCATGGAACATTTCCACCCACTGTCTCATCTGGACAACTTCACGCCTCCAGATTTGCCTATCAGGAAACACCTGGGGACTCCCGCAGCACAGACTCTGTGGGCTTGGGGCCACCCCTGTCATTCACCCACAGGTCTACACTGTTAGCAGAGAGCTGGTGGAGTGAAAGAGGGAGAAGCTGGTCCAATCCTGATGGAGTCAGAGGAATTGGATGACATTCCCTCCATGGCCAAACCGAAAGATTAGCAAAATCGTGGAGCAATGGTATTCAGATACTGGATTTGAGGATCACAGAATAGGAACCCCTTACCAAGGGAAATAAACAAAGTGAGTCTCATAATTGGCCCCACTTGCCACCTTGAGAACATTTCTAGGTCCTAGTGCAAAACTGGAAAACCCACATGGAGCTCTATGCACCCGAGTCAGAGATGGCTTTGGGAGTTGGGGGAGCCCCAGGCAGTCAGTGTTTAGGGCCAGAGTGCCTGAGTAACTCTTGGTCCTCAAAGGGTCTCCCTCAAGTGTCAGCTAAGTAATGTTCAGCAAATCCACGTGAGACTGAGATTGGGGAAATCAACAAAATTAGATGGCATGATCCCAGAAATCAAATATGCCTAAAGTAGTGCCTATTCCCACTTGCCAGTTGGAACATGATCATAATTCTCAAGACACCGGGTAGACCACTCAGAGGATATTGCCTCAGTTGTGGGTAAAATTAGCAGCAGCATAGCCACTGGTCCACTCGCACCTGACAAAGCTAATATGCAAACTTTAAAGAATGAGCCATTTCCAAGAAACTTAACTACATCTAGAACAGAGGTCAAGAACATTCATTTGAATACAAAATACCCAGCACTCAACAAGGTAGCATTCACAGTTTCAGACATCCTTTCAAAAATTTTAGGGATGCAAAGAGGCAGGAAAACATAACCCATAATAAGGATGAAATTAATCCATTAAAACCAAACCAGAGATGTAGCAGATGATAGAATTAGTAAGAGTTACGACTGTGTTCCATATGTCCAAGAAGCTAGAGAAAAGGCTAAGCGAGCATGCTCAGGAAAGTTGAAGAGGATTTGAAAGGACACAAGAACACCTAGAGAAGAAAGCTACAATGTCTGAGTGAATATTACGTGAAATGAGGTTAACAGCAGAATAGATGCTGCAGAAGAAACGACAAGTGAACTGGAAGGCAGAGCAATAGCAACTAAATGAAACTCAGAGAGGAAAAAGAAACGGACAAAGCATTCTTGAGCTGGAGGATGACTTCAGATGATCTCAGGTATGTGTAGTTAGAGTCTCCAAAGAATAAGAGAGAAAGGGAAGAAGAGAAAAGACACTGTCAGGCTGGATAAAAAGACAAGCTCCATTCTGCTGCCTATAGGAAGTGCACTTTAAATATAAAGAAAGAAAGAAGTTAAGTTTTTTTCATGGGAAAAATAAGAGTAAGTTAAACCCAAAGCAAGCAATGAAATATGACATAATAAAGATGAAAGCATCAATCAATGAAATTGAAAACAGTAAAACGGTAGTGATAATCAATGAAACAAAAGCTTGTTTTCTGAAATGGTAAATAAACTTGATAAACTCTAGCTAGACTGTGTAAGGGAAAGTTAACGAAGATGCAGTATCAGGAATGGAAGAGGTGGCATTACTACAGACCCTACAGATATTAAAGAATTAAAAGGGACTGCAGCAAACAATTCTACCCCTCAAAATTGGACCATTAAGATGACATGGCTTCATTCCTTGAAGACATAAAGTGCTGAGTTTCACTCAAGAGAAAACAGATTATCTTAATTGTCCTATGTCAATTTAATAGACTTTGCTTCTTAGAGCAGTTTTAGGTTCCCACATAACCTGCACCCTCACACACACACAGCATCTCCTACGATGAACATCATGCAATGTTGATACATTTGTTACAAATGTGGTTTGTTATAATCAATAAATGTATATTAACATCAATTTCACACAAAGTCCACAGTTTCCATTAGAGTTTTCTCTTGTACATTCTTAGGGTTTTGATAAAGGTATGACATATATGGACCATTATAGTTCACACAGAATAGTTTCCCTGCTCCCCAAATCCTCTGTGCTCCACCTATCCACCCCTTCCTTCTCCCCTGCTAAACCCTGGCAACCAACCCCTTCCTTCTCCCCTGCTAAACCCTGGCAACCAGTGACCTTTTTACCATCTCCATAGCTTTGCCTTTTCCGGAAGATCACATGGTTGGAACCATGCAGTATGAATACTTTCAGATCGGTTCTTTCACTTAGTAAAATGCATTTAAGGTTTTTCCATGTCTTTTCATGGCTTGACAGTTTATTTCTCTTTTTTATGAATTTTTTAATAAGGTAAAATACAAAATTCAAATATATAAAATTTACCATCTTAACACTTTTTAAGTGTATAGCTCTCTGGTATTAAGTACATTCGTAATATTGTACAGCCACCACTACCCTCCACATGCAGAACTCTTTTCATCTTGAAAAAAACTGAAACTCTATGCACATTAAACAACTTCCTTTTCTCTCCTCCCTCCAGCCCCTGGGAATCACCATTCTACTTTCTGTTTCTAAAGTACATCCTCTAAGTGGAATCATATAGAAATTGTCTTTTAGTGATGGCTTATTTCACTTACCATAATGTCCTCATAATTCATCCTTTTTTTGTTTCCTTTTTAAGGGTGAATAATAATCCATTGTGTGTATATACATTTTGCTTGTCCATTCATCCATCAATGGACACTGGGTTGCTTTCACATTTTAGCTATTGTAAATAATGCTGCTATGAACATGGGTTAGCAAATATCTCTACACAACCCTGCTTTTAATTCTTTTGAGCATACATCCAGTAGAATGACAGGGTCATATGGTAATTTTACCTCTAATTTTAGGGGGAACCATCATGCTGATTTCCACAGTAGCTGTACCATTTCATGTTCATACCAATAGTGCCCAAGGGTTCCAAGTTCTCCACATTCTCACCAACACTTGTTAATTCTGTTGGTTTGTTTTTTATATATAGTAGCTACCTTTATGGATGTAAGGTGGTATCTCATAGTTTTGGTTTGCTTTGCTCCAGTGGTTAGTTATGTTGAGCATCTTTTCATGGGCTTGTTGGTCATTTGTGTATCTTCTTTGGAAAAATGTCCACTCAAGTCCTTTGACCATTTTTGAATTTTTAAAAATTTTATTCACTTTTTAGGAATTCTTTATGCATTCTATATATTAATTCCTTATCGGATACATGATTTTCAAATGTTTTTCTCATTTCCTTGGGTTACCTTTTTTCTCTGTTGATATTGTCTTTTGATGCAAAAACACTTAAAAATTTTCACAAAGTCCAATATGTGTATGTTTCCTATGTTGTCCCTGCCTTTGGAGTCATATCCAAGAAATCACTGCCAAACTCAATGCCGTGAAGATTTTGTCCTGTTTTCTTCTAAGAGCTTTATAGCTTTAGGTCTTGCACTTAGGTTGTAGATCCATTTTGACTTAATTCTTGTGTATGGTGTTAGTTATGAGTTAACTTCATTCTTTTGCATGTGGATATCCAATTTGCCCCAAACCGTTTGTTGAAAAGACTGTCTTTTTTCCATCGAATGGACTTGGTGCCCTTGTCAAAAATGATTTGACCGATCATGTGAGGGTTTATTTCTGGACTCTATTCTATTCCATTGGTCTATATGTCTTCATGCCAGTACCACCCTCTTTTGATTACTGCAGCTTTGTAGTAAGTTTTGAAATCAGGAAGTGTGATCCCTCCAGCTTTGTTCTTTTAAAGGATTGTTTTGGCCATTCAGGGTCCCTTAAGATACCACATGAATTTTAGGATGGATTTTTATATTTCTGCAAAAAAACTCACAAAAACACAACAACCCCAAAACCATTGAGAATTTGATAGTGATTGCATTAAATCTGTAGATTGCTTTGGGTAGTATTAAAATCTTAACACTATTAAGTCTTCCAATCCATGAACATGGGCTGTCATTCCATTTACTTATATCTTTTTAAATTTCTTTCAACGATGTTTTGTAGTTTACATTGTAAAAGTCTTTCACCTCCTTATTTAAGTTAATCTGTAAGCATTTTATTCTTTTTGATACTATTGTAAATGAAATTATTTTCATAATTGTCTTTTTGGGCTGTTCATTATTAGTGTACAAAAATGCAACTGAATTTTGTTAACTTTGTATCCTGCTGTTTTGCTGAATTCATTTATTAGTTCTAACATCTTTTTGTGGACTCTTTAGGGTTTTCTACATTTAATATCATAGCATCTGTGAACAGGGATGATTTTACTTCTTTCCAATTTAGGTGACTTTTTATTTCTTTCATTGTCTATCTGCTCTCCCAGAGTTTCCGTTACTATGGAGAACAGAAGTGGGCATCCTTGCCTTGTTCCTGTTCTTAGAGGAAAAGCTTTCAGTCTTCCAAAATTGAGTATGATATTTGCTGGGGGTTTTTTCATATATATTCATATGTATGTTGTCCCCTTCCATTCCTAGTTTGTTGAGTATTTTTATCATGAAAGGATTTTGAATTTTGTTAAATATTTATGTTGCGCATAGTTTCTTTGCATCAGTTGAGAGGACCATGTATTTTTCCCCTCATTCTATTAACGTGGTATATTACATTGATCAATTATCATATGTAGAACCATCTTTGAATTTCGGCAATAGATCCCTCTTGGTCATGGTGTATAAACCTTTTAACAAGCTGCTGAATTTGGTTTGCTAGTATGTTGTTGAGAGTTTTTATATCAGTGTTCATAAGGGATATTGGTCTGTAGTTTTCTTCTCTTGTAGTGTCTTGGTCTGGCTTTGGTATCAAGGTTAACACTGGCCTCATAGAATGAGTGAGTGTGTGTTCCCTCTTCAATCTTTAAGAGAAGTTTCCAGTGACCTAGGAAAAAAACAAAAACTCCTTAACCCGATAGAAGGCACCTATGAAAATCTCACAGCCAACACCATATTCCATTGTGAAACTGCTCCCTAAGACTAGAAACGAGACACAGATGTCCTCTCCCACCACACCTGTTGAGCATCAGTGAGACAAGAGAAAGAAATAAAAGGCACATGCATTGGAAATGAAGAAATAAAACCATCTCTATTCACAGAGGACATGATTGTCCACATAGGAAACCCTCAAGAATCTTCAAAAAGCTTCCTAAAAATAGAAGAGAGTTTCGCAAGGTTCAAGAATGCAAACTTAAGCCCTGGCCGGTTTTCCTCACTGGTTAGAGTGTAGGCCCATGGACTGAAGGGTCCCACATTCGATTCAGGCCAATGAACCTGCGTTGCAGGCTCGGTCCCTGACCCCAGTTGGGACACGTGTAGGAGGCAACCAGTGGGTGACCAGCCAATGTGTCTCTCTCACATTGATGTGTTCCCACCCTCACCCCTCCACTCTCTCTGAAAAACAGTGGAAAAAATATTCTCAGGTAAGGATTAAAATAATAATTTTAATTAAAAAAAAGAATGCAAACTTAATAAAAATTATTTGTAGTTCTGTGTACAGGGGTAGGCAAAAGTAGGTTTAAGTTATGAGTACATGAAACAGAATTTATTCTTGTATCATTTATTTAGTAATAACAACTGTATTATTTATTTGTATTATTTGTCTCATTATTGTTATTGTTATTACTTTGTGTCCTTACTTATGATTTATATTTTAGGTAGTGATGGCTGGTAACTTAACCTACTTTTGCCCAGCTCCGTATAATAGCAACAAAAATTGGATTTCAAAATTTTTGTTTAAAAGTATGACTTACAACAAAATAAAAAATGAAAACCAGTGTAAATCTAATAAAATATGTACATAATGAGAACTATAAAAACACTGGTGAAATAAATCAAAGAAGACAAGTGAGTGAATTAGACCATGTTCACAGGTTGAGACGTTGTTATGTCCGTTACCACCAAACTGATCCATAGACTCACGACAATCCCAATAGAGATTCCAGCAGGATTTTGTTTTGTTTTGTTATCAACAAGCTGAATCTCAAATTCTTTGGAAAGAGAAAGGAGCTGGAACAGCCCAGGCCGTTTGTCATCCTGCGCTGTGTTTGAGACCCTTCTTGTCTGTCTTCCGTCTGCGGCTTCTCTCCGTGGCTGGTATGTCCACGCTCGGCCCTCTGTGGGGATGTCCTGTGGCAAAGGAGCGGGGGGTCCCAGTTCCAGCCATCTGCTGCCCTGTCACTGACTCTGGGCTTCACACCTTCACCTGCAATGTCACGGAGACCACCTGGGGAGTGGGGCACAGCTGGGCAGGGGCAGGCTGCCAGGGCTCCACGACTCCAGATTTTTCCAGTGGTGTTTGCTTAGGAAACCAAACAGGTCAGGGGGTCAACCCAGTCTTCAGCCACGATCGGCATTTTACAAGCAGCAAACTCCTTCCTGTAAATAAACCAGAAGTCATAAGGGCTCCCAGGACTCAGCTCAAAATATCAACAAGGAAAGGAGGGCGTGGGGAGCCTCCTGCTGGGACAACAAACACCCAGGAGGGTATAAAAGCCAACAGCCCCGAGCACCTCACACACTCACACGCACTCACACACTCACACGCTCACACCCTCCTCCAGCCCCACTGCCCACCATGGCCGCGTCCACCCTGTCCGTCTGTTCCAATGACATGAGCTATGGCAGCCGTGCCTGCCTGCCCGGGTCCTGTGACCCTTGCACCAGCTCCTCCTGGCAGGCGGACGACTGTCTAGAGAACTGCGGTGAGCCCTCCTGCTGCGCCCCCAGCTGCTGCCAGCCCTCCTGCTGCGCCCCCAGCTGCTGCCAGCCCACCTGCTCTGTCCCCAGCTGCTGCACCCAGACCCCCTGCCTGACCCTGGCCTGCACCCCAGTGAGCTGTGTATCCAGCCCCTCCTGCCAGCAGTCTAGCTGCCAGCCCTCCTGCTGTACCTCCTCCCCCTGCCAACAGGCCTGCTGTGTGCCCGTCTGTTGTACACCCGCCTGCTGCAAGCCCGTCTGTTGCACACCTGTCTGCTGCAAGCCCGTCTGCTGCACCCCTGTCTGCTGCAAGCCCATCTGCTGCACCCCTGTCTGCTGCAAGACTGTGTGCTGTGTGCCTATCTGCTCTGGGGCCACCCCCTGCCCAGCCCCCTCATGCTGCCAGCCCACCCCCTGCCCCTCACCCTGCTGCAGACCCTCCTCCTGTGTGTCCCTCATCTGCCGCCCCGTGTGCAGGCCCGCCTGCTGCGTGCCCGCCTCCTCCTGCTGTGCCCCTTCCTGCTGTTAGCCCAGCTGCTGCCGCCCAGCCTGCTGTGTCCCTGTCGCAGCCCAGAAGTCCTGCTGTTGACCGAGCGCATCCCCCGGGGCCAGCTGGGCTCAGGTCTCACCTGGTTCTCCCAGCCACCCTTCAGTCTGGCCCTGACCTGGATCAGGTGGCTGCCCCGTCTCAGGACAGGGTCTCTCCAGGTCTCCACTGTCCTCACCTGACCTCTGCTCTCAGGAACCCTGGACCTCACTGCTCCCCCGGGCTCTTGTCTCCCAGGAGGCTCCTCCACCTGCTTCTGGGTCACCTGTCCTTCCCTCCCAATTTCTCTGTCCAGTCACTTGACTCTCAGCCTGTCAGCACCTCCTCGGGCACCCCAATAAACTGACTCATCACCTGATCGCGTCCTTCATCTGATTTCATCATGGTCATGGGGGTGGGGGTGAGGGGACACAGGGTTTTTACCAGACAGTGGTCTCCTCCAGCCATGAGTGCTTCTAGGGATGAGGGACTGAGAGCTCACAAAGCGTATTAGCAAGTCCTCTGGGGACTCACACCCCGGCCAGGGAGGTCAGTGAAGGACCCAGAGGCCGTGGGACCCATTCTGAGCCGAGTGGATTTTGCTGAATCAGGCATTACATTAAGTACGAGGAATGTGGAGGCTTTGAACTTCTTTAGAATACTAGTTGCATGAAATTGGGTCACAATGTCCCACGGGCAAAGACTTCCTAAAAAGTGACCCTCTGTAATTATGTTACAGACCTGCTGGGCACTCGGGCTCCATCACTTCCAGTTCTGACCCTTCCCCTTGTGTGCGGCTAGGAGTTAAGGGCTCTCCGCTGCAATTACTTACAGCCATGTGTGCACTGTGTCCACACAGCTCACGGGGCTGGGGTTGCTGGGGGTTTGGGGTCACCATCGTGGTAAAGAGGTGCGTGGTTTTTAAATTGTGGTAAAATACACATAACCTGAAGTTTACCATTTTAATCATTTTTAAGTTACAGCTCAGTGGCATTAAGCACATTCACGCTGCTGTGCAGCCATCGCCAACGCCCGTCTCCAGAACTTTCCATCTCCCCAGAGTGAAACCCTGTCCCCATTAAGCACTAACTCCCTGCCCCTGCCCCAGCCCCTGGCGCCCCCCTTCTACACTCCCCCTCTACGAACGCGACTGCTCGAGGGGCCTCGGGTAGTGAAATCACACAGCGGTTGTCCTGTGACTGGCTTGTTTCCCGCAGCGTAATGTCCTCAAGGTTCATCCAGGCTGATGTGGGAACTTCCTTCCAAGGCTGAACGCGGTCCATCGAGTGGCCGGGCCGCCTTGTTCACGCTCATCCTTTGACACCTGCTGTCAATCCCTTCGGATTCATAGCAAAGGGTGGACTTGCTGGATCATACGGTAGTTCCGTTTTTAATTTTGGGAGGAAACGCCATACTGTGTTTTTACAGGGCCTGCACCATTCGACATCCCACCAAAGGGTTCGAGGGCCCACGTTTCTCCACATACTTGCCAACACTTGCTCTTTTCCGTTTTCCTGATACCAGCCACTGTCATGGGTGTGAGCGGAGCTCTGGGTTTTATCACAGACAAGGTTATGGCAGGAGGCCCTGCGCTGGAGGCCC